CTGAGCCACTGCCAAGCCATGCCGAGCCATCGCCGAGCCATGCCGAGCCATCGCCGAGCCATCGCTGAGCCACTGCTGAGCCACACCGAGCCGTTGCCACTGGGCTGTGTCCAGCCCAGGCTGGGCTGCTCTCTCCACTCTCTGGCCCACAAATAAGGACATGTGGAGGAAGGGACACCCTGGTGGGACCGGGGTCCCTGGTGAGAGACAGATGGTGCGTTTTCCGAGCACTGGGACTCAGTCGCTTCGGCAGTGCAATGCAATGGCAGAAAGCACTGCTCCTGAGTGTGGCACCATTCCCCGGTGCCCCAGCAGCACAGGAGTTGCTATACCTGGTGAGGACGCAGCGCCGGGAACGGGCTGTAGAAACAGCATCACTGGTGCCAAGACCAGGCAGGAGAGATGGGGCAGAGGCACCCGGCTGTGGCTGAGCACCAAGAAGTGAGAAATCCCCATGACAAAGGTGAGTGCAGCCACTCTCCAGGAGGACAGCAGACCTGATGCCAGACGGCAAGTCAGGGTCTCCCGCTCCAGCATCTGCCAGCGCCCTGCAGAATGGGACAATCCCAGCAGAGGCTACGGCATCTTCCACTGCAAACGCAACACCGAAACCAGCCTGCAACCTTGCTCCTAACCGCAGAGCCAGCCCTAAGCCTAACCCGAGTGTCAGCCCTGAGAATACAGCCTCAGCCCTACAGCCCTGGGGATACCAAAATCCAGAGCAGGCTCAGCACTGGCCCCAAGGCTGCTGCAAGCAGAGGGAAAGCTATGAGCCCGGGCAAGCAGAGCAGGACCAGCCAGGTCTCACTCTCCCATCCTCAGCATGAGGCTTTGGAGAAGTTTTACACCATGTTTAAGCTCAGAGCAACATCTACTTTGTGTTCCTCTTTATTTCCTGGGTTCAGGAAACAAACCTGCTTGTGCAGCGTAAATAATGCAAGCGGGGAAAAGGGGGCCGTGCCAGAGCTGTGCCAGAGGCTGTCGAGCCCGGGGCTGGCAGCGGGTGAAACGGCACCCGGGTGCAGGTGGTTTGGGATGCTGGGCTCGAGGAGTGTGGGAGGAGGACCCCTACTTGTACCCAGAGCTGTGCCCCGGCCCCTCACTGCCAGCACAGCTCCGCTCAGGGACAGCCGGCTGGCAGCCTGGGAGCCTGCAGCGCTGCCAGCACCGGATGGGACGGAACACCCCGTGTTTCCAGTATTGTAAACCAAGTAAGAGAATGAAGCCGAAATGCAGACACGTAAGCCTCGAGGAGGAGGAGGGGGAACAGTGAAGGGGGGGATGCAGTGAGCGAGGGAGCGACACAG